TAAAACACTTCCCGGATTGTGTTACAGTACGACAAAGAATAATATTATAAATAGTATGTTGCTAAGAATCTTAATGTATTATCGGTTTTAAAAATACACTCCCTAACTAACTAGCATATATTATGCTAAAACTGCCGGATGTGTAACGTATGTAGGAAGCAAAATAGATAAATTGATATACAGATAGATAAATAGATAGATTAAAGTAGGCACAATCAATTGACTAAAACTAAATTAAACGCCCTAAATATGGACAAATGGTATTATCACGCGATCTCTTTCAAACAATCTTGTAAAACAAGAGATGGATAGCGTAGTATCTTCTTAGAAAGGGAAAAAGGATTTGATAGTATAAAGAAGTTGAATCATTGATGACCATAAAAAAAAAACTAACCGTGGGTTTGTGACACCAATAGCTGTCTAAAACATGTCGTAATCCCTGTCGCTATCTTTGTCAAAACATAAATAACAATGTTTTAAACGGATATTCTGGTCATAAGAACTCACGGTAAGAAAGTGAAACGAGAGAGATGTACTGTGTCGAATACGAATTAGTCATCTTTATCGAGTGACAATTATGGGTAAGGTAACAAAACGAATAGGTATACTAGAAGACTGAACAGAAGAATTAATTACTAATGCCTAGATTGATAGATGGATGTTTGAAGGTATGTCCAGAACGATTGGACGGTTCTCGATGACGTCATACATATCGAATATAGTCTGGAAGAACACAGGCTGCTGATATTTTTTTTTTAATTCCGTGTGGATGGAGTCGCGGGCGATTGCTAGTATGTTGAATAGCTTGGTGATTGTATGTCATAGGAAAATGATATACAAATGGTGTTCGATTTGCATACTACGTTAGATACTTCGTTAATGTAACCATAATGACGTTTGGAACCGATGTAAATAATTCATTACGTGAACTGTTTTAATATCAACTTTACATCTATAAATTATTTATCTTTATTCAATATAGTAGATGCCCAAGACTTCGTCCGCGTGGAATTAATAGTAGTAATAAATATAGGCTATGTCACAAACAAACAATCAAACCGTTCCTTTTTATTAATATTAGTATAGACGTGTGATTATTTATTGAACAGATTTTTTTAACTTTTGCTTGATTGGTAGATATTGCTTCCCAAAGGGATTTTTATAGCGTATAAGGCTATAAAAAAAGATAGATTTTTTAGTTTTAACATAAAATATCATAGATAAAATCACAGTACTGGAATAAACTTGATGTCTAATCTTACTAATATTATAAATGCAAATGTTTAGATGAATGGATAAATGTTAGATGGTATCTATAGAACGACTGCATGGATCTCAATTAAATTTGGTATACATGTAGGACAAAGCCTGACTATGAATTAACTTTCAATTCAGCGTGGACGGAGTCGCGGGCGACAGATAGTATTCTATAAATCTATATATATATATATAAAAAAAGTCGTGTTAGTTACACTATTTATAACTCAAGAATGGCTTTACCGATATAGCTGAAAATTGGTGAGGAGGTAGCTTAGAGCCAGGAGACGGACATAGGATACTATTTATTCATATTTAAATGCGAATGTTTAGATGGATGTGATGTGGTTGGATAGATGAGTGGGCTACACTAATTAAGGTTTTTTGTATATCCACGCGGACGGAGTCGCGGGCGACAGCTAGTATGGTATAAAGTATAATTTATATGTATCTAAGAAAATTTATTAAGAATGTCTCAAAACTTTTGTCACTGAGTGTACATTTCGCAAGAGATGACGTCACGAAATGCTATTAGTTCTCGTGTTTATACGTATTGTATGAAGTTTAAATGATTTTATATGCCTGTTGTGATTTACAGACATTTATTTGTACCATGATTATCACGCCGATGTAACAAGAATGAACTGACAATCACATATATATTATATTGCACAATCATTATGTATACGCTACTATGTATATAAATATTAACAGGCAGGCGACTAGCTGTAAAAATTTAGCCAAAGTTACAAGGTTTATAAAACCTTGTACGCTAACCCTACCGTCTGTGAGGTAAGGGATTTTTATTTTGCTGGCTGAAAATATAATTGTCTGTCTTACTAATATTATAAATGCGAATGTTTAGATGGATGGATGTTTGTTTGAAGGTATCTCCGAAACGAATCAACAGATCTTTATGAAATTTAGTATGTAGAATATAGTCTGGAAGAACACGGAGTCGCGGGCAACCGCTAGTGCGGATATAAATTCGAATGTTTACATGGATGTTTGTAAGAAGGTATCTCCTGAAAGGCTTTTGACTAAAATTTGACATAAATATAGAACACATAGTCTACGAATTAAATTTAATATCCACGCAGACAGACACGCAGGCGACAGTTAGTATTTCATAATTAGAGCGAAAAATTGCCAGACAACATAGCATCAGTAATGCTAAGAATTAAAAGCTTCAAGGTAAAATGTAAAAATGAAGATTGGTGGTCAAGCACTAAACACAAAAATAGCAAAATTGCATAATGCCATCCAAATAGTTACCCGATGAATAAAGTTACATCTGTTGTTGGATCTCTTAATAGATATGATGGGACTTAACCTCGGAATACTACGTTACTCTGTAATAAGTAGATATGATAACAATTAACCCAAACATAACCTTTATAATTTTACTAGTAACTTTATATTTTTGTGTGTGTGTTTCCGGTATGTACATGTAGTCATAACAACTTTAAAATGGGAACAATAAGTGACCTCCTTAACGTTTAATTATCAATACTACAGTTTGTTTGCATTGAATAGACTCCGAAACTACTGAACCGATTTGAAAAATTCTTTCACTGTTGGTAAGCTAAACTATCCACGGGTGATGTAGGCTATTTTTATTACTAGAATTTTATAATCCCATACGAACGAAGTCGCGGACAACTATTAGTTAAACTACATTAGTACGAATTTAGACCTTCGCACTTTTGATTTAAGACACGTTTTTGAATGGAAACATGGTCAGTACAATAAGTAATACATTTTTACATCGAAAGGTTAGCTCATCAAATCCCAATCAGAGCTACAGGTCAGCGTACCAGATTTTTTGACTTCCAGATCATTGTAATTTTGTCAATCAATGACAAAGTTCATTATTATTCGCCAATAAACGGAAGTCTACAACTTTCGCTTAAACTACTTTCTATTCACGACTTGTCAGTCGATACGATATAAATAATTAAACTAACGTCCTATATTGGATATCTATAAGTACTAAGTAATCTAAACTAGTCTTCTAGTCTCCTTGAGAATATGAAAGGAGGTTTGATATAAAGTTTATAAGGAAATAGAAAAACGCAATAATACAAAGAGACTAGTACTTTTAAAGCTTGGAAAAGAGTTGACAAACATTACTTTATATCAAAATTTATTCGACTCTTACTAATATTATAAATGCGAATTTTTGGATAGATGGATGTTTGTTCGAAGGTATCTCCAAAACTGAATTGATCTCGCTGAGATGAACAAGTGACATATAGACTATTTATTAAGTTTTTTTTTGAGTCGCGGTCGACAGCTAGTTTTGACGATACGAAGGCTATTGTCACAATCGTGCTAGGCCCACTGATGATTTTATTACACGGATATGCCAAAAGTCAAGGAACCTGTTCTTGCTATTTTGCGTCGTAATCAATAGACAATCGTGATATTGATGAACATCACGTTTTGGAAATTATAAAAAAATCAAACGAGCATTTTTCTACAATACAGATTGTCAATTTTTTTTCAGTCAAAACTTTTCTAGTTTCGGTGAATCCCCTGTTCATGTTTTGTTAAATTTCTTTTATATCTTGTGAACGGTAATCTTTATTTCCCGGCATCATACGCATCCACCGGGGCTCGCGTGGAACCCGGAGCGTTCACCCGGACAACTTTGGTCATCTGTTTATATAGCTAATCATTGTTGTAGAATAATATGTCTTCTAATGTCGCTGCTCCTTCTAATACTAGACGAAATATGTGTTGCCTGTTTCAATTGTATAAACTTGATTCATTGAAAACTCCTCAATGACATTAAGTGCAACCGAGTCTATAAATCTCCAGAGAAATACGCCGAGGACCAAATGTTGAACACCTAGTTCGTCATTATCTTATAAAGCAAGAATATTTTATTGCAAATTAAATATCTTACTTATTACTAATATAAAATCGAATGTTTGGATATATGACGGGACAGATGGATGTTTGAAGGTATCTCCTGAATGGACTCATGCATCTCGCTGAAATTTCGCATAGATGTAGAACATAGCTTGGAAGAACACATAGGCTACTAATTATGTTTTTTTTTAATTCCGCGCGGACAGAGTCGTGAGTTACAGCTAGTTATAAATATTTATGAGTTCCACAAGTTTCTAATTGTGTAAGCTCGTCTAGTTTTTTACAAGACTTTAAATTCTTTTGTTATCTAGTCTGGTGTCGAGTTATGCACGTTTTTCTGACAATAGACAATTAGATCCGAGCGATGCTGGGGCAAATCGATATATTACGGTCGTTAAGAGATTAACATTAATACACATTAAGCGTTTACAAACGCGCGTTTTGGAAACGCGTGGTAAGAACTATCGTTTCTATGACCATATATTCATACAGCCAAAGTGCATATGGCCAGTTTTTTATAATTTTTTTTTGCTTAATCTATGTTATCCAGAAACAAAATATGTACAATAGGTTACTTCAAAATTTTTAACCTAGCTAGTTAATTTTAGACATTATTAATTAGAATCCTTTAGCGCAAATGGCGCGCTTTCATTACAAAGTCAAGTGTTAGAATCATTAGTGAGGGGACATAAACGTCGGCATTTTAGTAAGGCTAGTGTTGTGTCAGTACATTGACACAGTTTCGATTTTCTTCCTAACATTAGAAGGATGAACGCATCCATTTGGTAACGACCAAAGAGTCCGGTTGTAATCGCCGCGTGCGTTCTTTCAGTTATGGCTTATTTTTAATCTATATTCTTTTTCAGGTACAACGGACAGCGGATACGATGCGCCGCTGATCCAGCCAGTAATAGCGGTGGTCATACAGCCTGAGACGGAGTCGGCAGCGATGCTCGCCGTTTTGCCTTTGCGATGGCTCGACAGAATCAAACATGGCGGACTCGCGAACCAGTTCTTCATGGCTTTAATGGGTTAGTTTTTTTTGCTCGAATGACAGAAAAGTCATAATTCATCCAACAAATGTACAGTTTAAAGAGTGAATAACCTCGACAAAATGTTATGTTTATAATGTTTTTCGTGTACGTAAAGTTGTTTTTATGTTTGTTTGTTTTTGGGTTTGTTTGTATGTAACTTTGTGACAACCAAACCGACTGAACACATTTTGACGAGTGAGGTGCCATTCGAATCGTCTTTGCATGACTGTCATAGGGCTTACAGTCAGTCGCTTTTATATGTAAAATTCGTTTTATTTACGCGATCTCATATTTTCTCTTCTTAAAATCGAGATATGTTGTTTACGCTTCGTTTCATGGAGTCGTAAAAAATTCAAATGATTCCATTGTTTTGTGTCGCGTTCCAATTTCAAATGTTATTAAACATGTGTCCAGTAAGACAGCTATTGTCACTTGTTTATTCTTTTACGAACAAGTTTTCAGCCAGCGACTTTTTTACTTTTTAATTGGAAGGCAAAGATGATAATAACAAGAATATTTAGCATAATTTTGGATGTATTTTTGGATGAATTACAGCATAAATAATTAGAAAAAAAATTTACAAAAAAAGTAGAAAACAACACATTCACTGTGGGTTTCTGACACCAAAATCTCTGTATAAACAGGGATGATGATATATTTATACAGAGATTTTAATGTCATAAACCCACGATTAGTCAGATTTCTTGCTTTGTTTCGTTCTCTGCGAAAACATAAATAAAATAAAGTGTTCTATTGCGGTATTTAGACAATGATTTTCCTTAAATTGTTTGTATAATAAGTTAAATTGACAGTAAATAATTAAATACATAATTGCAAATTACGACTCTATCGCTACAGAGTCTTGACCCTAAAGAAATTGTAAAACAAGTCGATGAGTCACATGTTCAGATGCTCTCGAAACGGGTTTCCCCTTTGCAGTTATTCTGGGCAAAGTGAAAAGGGACCAGTCCAGTATAAACAAGTTTGTCGATGTACTTAGAGGAAAGTTTTGCAAATGCTATACTGTTAATGTCTTATTATTAAAATACGTACAGACTTGATCGCACTAGACTAGGTTTAGTCGAGTACCAAGTAATTTACTAACTAAACATGTGTGAACAACAAAAATTGAATCGAGTTGTCGTAGGTTATTCGAGTCGATCCTTTTACGTTCTATTATTTGGCGAGTAGCTTACTCGATCTACTACTAAACCAATTTGAACCGGGCTGATTATTGTTAATCGAAGTTTGAGTCAATTCATTAGTTAACGTTAACATTCTTCTAAAACATCACTCGAACTCTTAAATTGATCAAATTACTAGCCTAATTCGAACTTGACTTTACTACCGCCATCTCCCTAAAATAAATGCATAACGTTGGGTTTCTGAGTCTAAAATGTACGTATAAAAAATATCGTAAACTCTGTCATTATCTTTGACAAGACTAGTAGTCTCAGAGGGTTTTTGCTGTGATGTATCGTAAATTCGAATCGATATGGTATTTTTTGCCAATAATACGCTAAAAAATATTACTTTCGTAACATTAAACTGTCTCGACCTATTTATTAAAAACCACGAGATGACTGTTAATTATTTTTAGCTTAAACTTATTATCAAACAGAGATAATGTTATAATAATAGTAAAAAAAACAAACAGTTTCCTGATACGACTATTACGACAGAACTTTAATATCTTGTGTCTTTGTTACCGGTTATATCTGGTTTGAACAAGGTTTAACTGACATACATGTCAGTGACATAGAAATTTAACCCTGACAGTTGCTGAAAAACATGTCACGTCTCATCAATAACAATCCGATAACATTAACGAAGTAACAGCCCGAGCCGAGGCTGCTGAGGGAGCCCTCGAGTCTTGTTACTCTTAAACGAGGCTAAGCGCCATCTGCGCCCTCCTTAACTCCGGTGAAGCTCGTAAATGCCTCTTCAAGGCAAACGGTCACAACTCAGTAATAAAAAAAGTGTCCTCAACTTTTATACGTCATTTGGTCAGTAAATGATGAATAATAATAATAATGATTAGGTATCTAGTTCAGTACCCAGATATGAATTACAAAACTTATATGTTACTGGCTGTCTATCTGAATTAAAAAAGACCTAATTACCTATGTGTTCCAGACTATGTTCTACGTCTATGGCAAATTTCAGCCGGATCCGTTTAGCCGTTCTGATATTCAAACAAACATCTATCCATCTAAACATTCGCATTTATAATATTAGTAAGTTAGTAAGATTTGTAGAAGGTTTTCAGTGGTTTACATCTACATTAATAATTATAGATCAAGAATAACTGATTTGAAACCAAATAAACCTTACTTACATCATCATCATCATCAGCTCAGTATACGTCCCCACCGAGGGGCTCGGAGCCTACCCTAAGTTAAGGGTGATTAGGCCATAGTCAACCACGCTGGCCAAGTGCGGGTTGGTTGACTTCACACATATCTTTGAATTTCTTCTCAGATATGTGCAGCATCACGATGTTTTCCTTCACCGTAAGAACGTCGGATAAATGTACATATGTAAATCGGAAATCGAAAAACACATTGGTACATGGCGGGATTCGAACCCAGGACCTGCAGATTGCAAGACAAGTGCTTGACCCCTGAGCCACCGACGCTCTACATACATTAAATTAGCATTAGCAATTTTATAGATTTTTTCCACGCAAAACATGCATTGATTTATAACAAAACTACACGTAATTTTATAAAGTTCCATTGATTCAATATAAATTGCACATTTCTATCATATTTTGAATAACATAAATTATTAATTATGGACATTAATTTATTTCCTTGTATGACCAGGTTGGTCATTACAGTATGTCACGTTTTTTTATAATCTATATGTAAAAATCAATTAATGTCCGTCAGTCTCGCTAAAACTCGGGAACTTCTGAACGGATTTATCTTATCTTCTAGGTCTAGGTAAGGTTTAAAAGGTGAGAAAATTTGGAATAATTGCCGAGAACTAATTAAGTTCTTTTTTTCATTCTCCGTAGACGGAGTCGCGGGCGACAGCTAGTAGAAAATATAATCATTATGTAACAACGATTACATTGATAAAGACGTTTAATATTTATCTTAAAAACTACAGCAATACTTTATTTATTGAGCTCAAATTAATTTTAACACATAAATAATTAATACATGATGATAAAAAGAAGACAACTAGGAATAATTTTAACTTCATGACTTATACAAAATTATCTTTGTTGTAACATCATCGTACTAATTGAGTACCATAGTGTTTGTCTATCGAATTATAATTGACTAACTGTCGCCTCCTACTCCATCCGTGCAATAAAAAAACTTAGTCGCTGTTAGGAAAAAAATCCGACAGTGTGCCGGCGTATCGGCGCAACACTAGCCTTATTAACACGTTAGCTGCCAGAACGATTTTTCGAAAAACGGATTTTTTTTATTATTTTATTTTTGTCCTAAACCATTTGAATGGGGCCTTGCGGGTCACGCTGTATACAACAATTCGATTGAAAAGCCACAGCGAGGTGTTGAATCGAAGTATGGCTTGTCGAAGTCCGACACGGCCTGATTGAAACATTAGCTTGTCCGACATGGCAGCTAACGTGTTAAAATATCAACGTTTATGTCCCGTTACTAATAAATCTAACACTTGACTCGGTAATGAATGCGCGCCATTCGCGCCAAATCATTCTAATTAATAATGCCTTAAAGTAGGCTATATGTTCTTCCAGACTATGTTCTACATCTATGCCAAATTTCATCAAGATCCGTTGCGCTGTTTGTTATGCAGATAACTTCTGACAAACATTCATCCGTACATCCAAACATTCGCATTTATAATATTAGTAAGTTCTTCTCTTGTTCCAGTGACGATACCGGTGTTAAACTTCGGCATGCTGATGGGATGGCAGTCTCCAATGACTCCTATCCTTCAGGACCCTGGCGGCCCAGCACCGGAGCCAATCACAGATGACACTATATCCTGGATGGCGTCTATTACATTCTTCCCGCCGATTTTCTGTGGCTTTTTAGTGGGCGATCTCGCTGATAGATGGGGTAGGAAGTTGACAACATTGCTGACGTCACTCATGCTTGTGGTAAGTTTTAATTAATCACATTAATTAATTATGTTAATTAAAATGATTACTAATCAATTAATTAATCAAGTGTCGAAATATTTCTGTACATTGAAATCGCTTTAAATCTTTCCTATAATATTAGTATAATCATTGTTACTGTGGGATTTCTAAAGTAGACAATTTGTGTCAATACAAATTTTAAAGTGGAATTACACGGGTTACTGTGGATTTCCGAGACCAAAATCCCCTTTTAAAATATATTGTTATATCTTTTTTTTTTCAAAGATAATGACAGAGATGACGATATGTTTTATACATAGATAGCTGTCGCCCGTTACTCCGTCCGCGCGGAATTAAAAAAAACCTAATAAGTAGGCTACATGTTCTTCCAGACTATGTTCTGTATGTGTACCAAATTTCATCATACGTTGAGCTGTTCGGGAGATACAATCAAATCAACATCCATCCATCCAAGCATTCGCATTTATAATATTAGTAGGTTCAGAAATCAACTGTTAGTGATACAGACAAGCTTTGTATATATCAAGTTTGGATTTCAGGTACTTGTATGAATGAGACCAATCAATATTGTATACAAAACATATCAGTGTAAATTATACTTAATTATCTAGAAGTTTAGATTGCAATTCGCTTGTATCGTCCATTTGTAATCATTAAACTTGACATAAATCATTAGCAGTTGTAACCAACGGTTACTAGTAATTCTAACGATAATTATCAACTATAGTCCGACAAAATAATCTGGCTCGATGTGGTTCTGTTGTCGCGATTACTTATGTTAGGGACTTAACCAATTGTCTATGTGTTTATTCAGACTATGTTCTATAATACATCTATATAAAATTTTATAAACTTATATGAAAACGGCAAAACAAAACAAACAAAAGAGATTGGGGTATGGGGGAGAGGGTTGAATAAAATCTCACGACATCTCACCATTGCAGAAAATTTAAAAGAACACCTCACGTAATTTATAGACGAACACGATAATTTTTTAACATCTTAAACCTTCTTAGAAAATCAAACATTAACAACTTTTTTATTGGCAATGCCACACCACCTGGTGCGTTATAAAAAGTCCCCCCAACTTCTAAGAACGTATACTTATCCGGTTATGTTCGATTTAAGACAGGTTTACATAAGGACATTAACCTTGCGGGTTACATTCTCTTGTAATAAATACATTATTCTACTTATTTCAATTAATATTAATATAGAAAAGTGGAGTTATCTAGTCATATAAGAGGCGTTGCTATCGAGATTAGGAGTGTAAGAAAATACATGGACTTTACACAGCCACCTTTCAGGTACAAGCTTGTGAGGGATTGGGAGTATAAAATCAGGTGTAATCACCAATGTATCAGCTCAGTTACCGTGGGTTTCTGATACCAAAAACTCCGTTTTAAACACGTTGTTTTGTGAACGATAATGATGGAGATGACGATATGTTTATAAAGAGATTTTGGCAATAGAAACCCACAGTTAGTTATGCTTATAAAAAATACTAATACGCGTTACGAAAGCCAGATTATTTAGATCTTATTATCTTACGTATCTTACTAATGTTATTAATGCGAATGTTTAGATAGATGGATGTTTATTAGAAGGTATCTCGTGAACGGCTACATGGATCTCGGTAAAATTTGGCATAGATGTAGAACATAGTCTGAAAGCACACAAAAGCTACTCAGTTTCTTTTTAATTCCGCGCGAACGGAGTCGCGGGGGACAGCTAGTATGATAATAAAAGGTAGTTAAGTCATGGATATTCTTTCATAATTATTCTTATAAATATTTGTTTCTTTTAGATTAGTTGGGTTATAACCCTATTCTCGCTACGGCCCTGGGCTCTGATAGCGTCGCGAGCGGTCGCGGGATTGGCGTGTGCTGGCTGTTACGTCGTCACTCCACTTTACTTGAAAGAGGTAAGTGCAAATAGAACATCATGCCATAATAATTGTTCCAGCTTTGGGAAGGCTCGGCACATTTCCTTCTCCAAGCCTGTCTAAGCCCAATTAAACAAGTAAGCTTGCATCTTTATTTTTGTAACTTTTATCGACTGTTGCATCGCAATCCCTATTAATAAAAGAGGCGTCTTAACACATTAAATGCCAACGCCTGGTGAGTTTATTTTCATACCATAAAAATCGGCACGGAACATGTTAAGAGACTCTTTTGGAATCATCGTCTTTATTCTTCCTTAAGAATCGGCTTATTAAGTACTCTTTAATACGTAATTTATTTTGGATAATAATAACTTAAGATGTACTTATAGATAGCGTCTGACAACGTGCGTGGTGCGTTGGGATCTCTCTTCATCCTGTCACAGAACCTGGGCTACCTGGTGGTCTATGTTGCGGGAGATGTACTGTCCTTTGCTGCAGTCATGTGGCTGTGTACTGCTGTACCGGTGATACATATGATAGCATTCTTAGCTATGCCAGAAACACCCGTGTTTCTTGTCAAACAGGGAAAGTTTAAGGTCAGTTAATAAATGTATTCGATTACATTTTATTATCATAAAGGTAGAGTTTTTGCTCCGTTTTTAAGTACAGTGAAGTGTGTTGTGAAGTTCAATGTTACTAAGATTTTTGTGCTAGAAAATTAAATTGTAAAGATGGAATATAACGCGTTTAAGGGCATGATGACAAAAAAAATAATTAAATTCAGTTAGCTCTTACAAACAAAAAATTACATGTGGCAAAATCCGCGATGTTTTTGTATCCTTAAATATATTATTCCTTGAAGTAATTTAATTGAGCACGATTTTGATTTTAAAATCGTAAGGTTTTTCCCCTTATTTCTTATTCTTAATACTACCAGGAAAAAAATGGCTAGCAAAATGTGAATCATTATTCAAAAATTATATTAATTGATTTTACAGATAAGCAAAAAATACATATAGAAATATACTCGCTTATTTAAAGTAACTAACAAATATTTAAATTCTGACACAAATACTATACACAAAGATTTTAATAATGATTTCCATGTTTTTTTTTTAGTTTATGACTAGTTTAGTTCACAAACTTTTATTATTAATTTGTGTTAATTATAATTATATTTCTAGGAAGCCAGAGCTACTTTAGCATGGTTAAGAAATACGAGCGTAGAAGATAAGGATTTAGAAGAAGCAGTACAACAGTTAGAGAGAGAAGAGGAAGTTGCTAAATCTATGAAGAAAGCAAGTTGGAAGAGTTTAGGTAATTTTTCCTTACGTCATAGCTCTGTGGGCCTAGCACGAATATTTGAGACAATCTCCTTACATTAAGGACTATCTTACTGATATTATAAATGCGAATGTTAAGATGGGTGGATGTTTGTTAAAAGGTATCTCCGGAACGGCTGATAGTTCTCACTGAAATATGGCTTACATGTAGAACATAGTCTGGAAGAAGACGTAGCCTACTGATTAAGTTTGTTTTTAATTTCGCGCAGACCGAGTTGTGGTTAACAGCTAGTAATATTACAAATGCGAGTGTTTAGATGGATGGATGTTTGTTAGAAGGTATATCCAGAACTAGTGCATGGATCTCGCTAAAAGCCAACACATAGGCACTATTTTCATATGCCGTGCCAACGGAGTCGCTGGCAACAAACTAGTATCAATATTTTAATAGATAAATATTTTAAATTCATACCTTAGTTTACTTATTTATACGGCTAATTATTGTTTGTTGTTTGACCTTGATAATTAATTCAATTGGCCATTGTAACTAAGTGCAGTTCTCATGAGAACAGACCGATAATAATCGGTTTAATGCCATTAAAGGTGGTCGTAGCTTGCAATGCAATCAAACGACCGAGTTAAACTGCCACTCAGAGTTAAATGAAAAGCCATACCTTTAATTAACACTAAGTTTGTAACTGATTTTGGCTGGAGGGCTTGTATTAATACACATTTTTGTCTTTCTTTTATCAAATAGATTTAATTTTGTATAGAATATTCAAGAACATTGGAAACAAATCCTGTTTCGGCTCTTTCTTGAATTAATTTAATTTCCTGATATTCCAAGTATAAGCAATCTTTTTTTTTATTTCCAGTGCAAAATAAGACAACATTCAAAGCATTCCGAATCTCACTAAACGTGATGCTGTCACAAGAGACATGCGGATACCTCGTGGTGTTGATGTACGCGGGATCCATTTTTGAACAGGCTTCGGAGTCCATCAGTCTAAAACTGAGCCCCAACAAACAGACCATTGTAGTGGGCGCTATACAGCTACTAGGATCGATTGTAGCTAGCTGTATTGTGGAGAAAACTGGAAGGAAGGTATGTATCAATTGGTCCTTCGAGTCGGATGACAGTTTTCTCGTAAAGCAGTAAAATTCAGTTTTACCCAATAGCATACTCAACTTACCATATTATAGTTACGATGCAAGTTTTATTCCATCGTCATGACAGTTCTTCCGTCTATCTTAGGCTCCAGAGCTCGCATTCCTCTGGCGCAGTGATCCAAAATCTTAGGCTCCGACATAAAAGAGCGCTATCGCTATCTCGTTCTGTCTCCAGCCTGCTTAAAGCACCTGGCCTTAACTTTTGATAATTACTGCTGGCATAGAACTGGCATAATGTAAACACTAACACGCCAGTTCCATACAGTTTGTGCCAAGCCAGCACTAATGTCATACTGTACTGGTATAATGTAAACCAGGCTTAACATCAAGGACTTTTCCAGTGGCTGTTGGCAAGTACATCATTTGTGACTGGTCTATCAATGCTGGCGCTGGGCGGTTGGTTCTATATCACATCGTTGTCGGTGTGGCTGCCGGGCTGGTTACCAGTGCTGGCGATGTGTCTCTGCATCTTCGCTGATGCTGCTGGCTACCAACCAGTACCTTACGTGATCACATCTGAGCTGTTCTCTTTCCAGGTAACAATTATATATTTTATGATAAGCTTGATTAATTTTGACAAACATATTTATTTTTGGTATACTCAAGTCACATAGGTGCTGCTACTTTACTATAAGAAAACTTTCAAAAGGTGAAGTTATAGAATTTAAATTGTTTTTTCTCCTGTTTCCAGCATCGTGGAATGGTGACGTCATTCGTCAGTAGCGTGGACGCCTTGAGTGACTTCCTCCAAACCAAAGCATATGACCCCCTTCTCAAATTACTCGGCATCCATTGGGTGTTCATTATGTTCTCTATGGTATGCTTCCTTGGTACATTCTACACCGTTCTGTACGTACCAGAGACAAAAGATAGAACCATAGAGGAGATCTATGCTATTCTAGAAAGGAAAAAGGAGAAGAGGAAAGACCCGGAAGCAGGAAAGGAAACTAGTAGACTTTAATAGACTTTTTTTTTTAATTTAGATTGACTGTGCCTTAACTCGAAGATACTTAATAAATTATAGATTAAATAATGTATTTTAATTTATATTTATGTTTACAGTATTAAATGAAACTAATTTTATCAATTTTATAGCATACCTCCACTAAAAGGCTTTTTGAATTACCCGAATTATTTGGGCTACTGTGATAGTTTTTAATAAAATGCTATAAAATTCATAAAATTAATTTCAATTATATTTAACGTATGAAAAATAAACTAAAATATTTAAGAATAAGATCATCAAGAATGCATTTTTTTCATCATTTCATCATTGCATGAATAAAGTCGTCCGAAAAGATATAGAAGGGGATAAATCGTCATAAAATTTAAATTATAAAAAGTTCCAGTGTGACTTTTTTAATCTGTCAAATTTTGACAGATTCATGTGATAATTATTACGAATTATTACTATTAAAATTAATGGTATTATTAGATTTAAGTTATGTCTGAAGGACAATAAAATTATTTTATTAAAAAGCTACGCTTTTATTTATATTTATAATCCTTTTTACGAATCAACTCTCAAAAGGAGTTTTTTTTTTGGCAACATTTTGAAGTTTTTTTTTGTTAACGCGGGGAGTGCGTTTATGCAACATTTTGAAGTCTACGTGAATATTATTTTGATGAATAAGGAAAAAGGTATGGGTGATTACCATCAGAGAAAAAAATAAATTAATAATTACATAAATTTTATTTAATTACATTTGTCTTATAAAAATTACATTGCAAAAAAATTGTGCAAACTTTGGTACAAGTAAAATTCTTTTTTTTAAATATAATTCTATACATTTAAATTCTATTTCTTTACAAAAGTATATGGCGTATATCCAATTTACCTAACCTATGTCACAACCAGTTTTATGGTGTATAAAAAAAAATTTTCTTTCTTCTTTTCTTTTTTTAATAAAAAAATTTGCAGATTTTTTTTGTAAATTTACTAATATTTCTTTTACCATTCCAACTAAGCTCTATGCTTGTTTTAGGAAATGGTTTACGACAATAGTCGAATATCGGGATTCGAACCCCCGACCTCGTGATCGGGAATACGTACTCTTAACCATTAGGTTATTGACGCTTAAATTATTTTGAAAGTGAAATTTTACGAATCTAATTATTTTAAGGTTGATTGTTTCGATTAATTTCCTAAGAATTATTTATTTAAGATATATAAAAAAAATATGGATAAAAAATTTGTATTTCTTTTAAATAATGGTAAAACAGACATAGGTGGAGTAAAAACTTAATTTGTGTGTTTAAAAAGTAAAATTAACACGATTAAATTTTAAAGTTCATCAAATAAACCTTATATTAAATTAACGATAATAATAATATCTTTACCATTAACACGATGATATGAACAAAACTTACTATATTACTAATATTATAAATGCGAATTGGATGGATGGATGTTTGTTTGAAGCTATGCCAAAACGACTGAACGGATTTCGATGAAATTTGGCATACATATAGAACATAGTCTGGAAGAACATACAGGCTACTAATTAAGTTTTTTTTTTAATTCCGCGCGGACGAAGTCGCGGGTCACAGATAGTACATAAATATATCAACGTATTAATGGAAAAGAATTCTGGTAGCCACATGCTCGTTTGGCATCTTATAATATAAAAAAAATGTGCTTACAAAATTTAATATAAATATTATACAGTAAATACATATTAATATAAATTAGGAAATTAAAAATCGTTTTCATATCCACTCTTAGAAAAGGATGTAAAATATCCCTAAAAAGGGATAGAGTGTACTCTTAGAAAGGGATAGGATAAGCTTTATCCTTTTCTCACGTCTTTTTGATATACTAGTCACTTAACACATTCAATGCTACGAATTTGCCTGTCAAGTTAACTATCACGTCGCTATTTTAGGTCACTATTTTGTATACAATAATGATTATAAAATAATTTCATGTTTGAAACTTCTGGTGAGCAGTTTGTGCGGCAGTACTATAGAGTTAAGTAGTATAGTCTCACCGGGAACTACAACGCCCGCACCTTTGGAAATACAATTAAAGATATTTATCCTCTATCCAAATAATATTTATAGATAGGGATAGGGACCAGGGATACTTTTAGGATAGGGATACTATTCGGAAAGGGATACTATTTGGATAGGGATACTATTCGGAAAGGGATACTATTTGGATAGGGATACTGTTTGGATAGGGATAC